TCTCTCGCAGGCACACGATCGGGGGCTGCATCCGAAAAGCACCATCAACGTTGCCGGGTACAAGGCCCTGACCTCGATGGAGGAGTACTTGGAGCTGATGAACACCAGCCTGCCAGGTGAGACGAGGACACGCACAGAAAATATGAACGCAGTTTTATATGAAAATCAAATTAACGGAAATCAGAAATTTGGAGTTGATGATGTTCAAAACCACCGAATTACATTTTCTACATATTCAATCCCTGACGCACCTGCTAGTTTCACTTCATCTTTACAAGTCTCCTTACTCCAGTTCACCCTCCGAACCTTCTTGTTTCTCGTTCCCTCCTGTGACTTGTTGCAGGAATCAAGGCCAGAGTTGGAAATCATCCGTTCATCAAGTGCGCGACCCAGTTCCCGCTCATCCTGTGGCACCCGTACGCCCGTCACCACTACTTCTGTGTGATGACGGAGAAGGAGCAGAAGAAGTGGCACGCCGTGCTGCAGGACTGTGTCCGACACTGCAACAACGGTAACAACACACACGATCATTTCGTCTGCACGAACAGGAAATAGCAACAAGGAAGGTCCCTGACAGTGTTGACTTAATGGTTTTCAGATTATTTATCAAAAAGGAACGATTATAAATCATGACAGATCAACTGAAACCTTCATTTGTCCAGGAGTAAGTAATTTGCGATACCGATATGTCGCTAAGTAGATCGTTATAAAATGAATACGTGAACACGTATGAAGTGCAAATCCATGATATTATGAAGTATTATAAATAAAAAGAAAACACAAAAAACGACCAAATATTAGAACTTGAATTATAAAATACGTAACAAATGAACATAAATGGAAATTCTTTCTGCTGTAAAATAAGTTTTTATATCAGGAGACACATCCTGATAAATGTCCTTGAAAGGCTCTGGCTCATCGCACATGGACGGTTTCTCAGTGTCTTCGATTTGTCCCCTGTACAATGAGTGTCTCTCTATCTCTGACGGTGATTCATACGAGGGTGTGTGTGTGTGTGTGTGTGTGTGTCGCAGTGTTAAGTCTTCACATACCAGCTGAGTGAGCTGGTGGATTGAGGAATATGAGATGCTGCAGGAATGATATGTATTTCTTTTCCTATTGTTCGGTGTCGCTCACTGTGAGCGAGGCATGTTGTTGTTGTGTCAGGATCCGAGTTTCAGATGTTACGGCCGAGTCTTCATCACTCGTGGACGTTTGTTAGAACCCATCACGATGAGGCGGCCTCTTATTTTGTCGTAGTGTATCTTTCACGAAGCTGTGTTGTGAATCGGCCTGCTCCGGGGTTGTTCGCCACACGGTATGTTGGTTACACGCATGCTTGCACGCTCGTGTTTGTGCACGTGTCATCTCATGTTCAGATGTGCTTTATTTAGACTCAAGTCAGAGGCAATCAGAGAGTGCAGATTTTGGGGAAGTCAGGATTAAAATACAAAACGACGTGATCAGGCTTTCATCGTGTTACAAGCGGATGTTTCAGGATTTTCCTGAAACATCTGTGAAATGAAAAGTGGGCTCTCAAAATGCATTTAAACTATTAAAGATAAATAACATCTTATCCTCAACTACAGATATTTTGGCAGCAAAGCTCTAGATCCTCTTCATTCTTAAACACTTTACCTCGGCTGACCCTCATCTTCAAACACGTACATACGCAAGCGTGTAAAATGCCTGTGGGTGTGACACCAGGCTTTGACTGCATGAAGCCGACGTATAGCTAAATATATCTGTAGGTTCTCGTTGGGATGGATGATGACACACAACTCAGGGAGTCACATAAACATATAAAAGCACCAATATGTGTAAATGTGTCCAGTGTGAGTTAAAGCCAGTCTCAGTCCTGCATCACGAACACAATCGAGCTTCATACCATTGAATTGAACGAGACAACGCGTTGGTTCTTAGCTCTTCAACACGCTGACAAAGTTGCTGAACCTGATCTAGCCTTGTTGATGAAGCCGTCTGAACCGTGCCGTGTGTATTCAAAGCGTCCTTAACCACACACGACAGTGCCAACACTGGTTTTATCAGCAGTAATTGTTTGAAAACATCCCATGCATGCGGTGAAGTGAGAGCAGCCAAAAAAAAAAGCAAAAACAGGAGGCGAGTTTCTTCATTTCGGGGGATTTTGAGGCAAAAACCAACACATGCTTGAATTAATTTAAAACCAAACTTTTGAGCACAAGAGTATCTCGTCTCGCTCACTCTTTACTTCCCAAAACGACCTGTCCGGGCACGCTCGGCGAGCGGCAGAGTCGCTGCTGTACATTCCAGCTGTGAGGCTGGGCTGCAGGAGCGTGTTGTAAGAAACACAGGCTGTGTTTTTACTGTCACCATGGCTGGTGGAAGTGTGGACTGGCATTCATGGGATTTCGGCCTGTGCCGACACGCCCGGTCTCACCTCCACCTTGTTGGTGTTGTTGAGGAGAAGCAGAACTAGTGAAAGAGTTTTCCTGAGGGCGATAAATGGTTTTACAGCTCGACCCCTGAACTCGCTGCAGTTCCTCTCAATCGCCGGCCCTGTAGACGCACGTTTACATGAGCCTCTGAGTTCAAACACGTCATCATGGTAGAGACACTGAAGGAGAAGCTTCATGCAAAGCAGCTCTTCAGCTGAACTCAGATATTATTCAGGCGGCTGTGACGAATAAAAACCACAAGTTGAACATTGAAAGTGAAGATATGAAATCCACCAAAGCTCCTTCTGTTTTATTTTAAATATCTCTCCGATAAAACAATCAGCTGCTGCTTTGCATCTCTTTCACATTTGCAAAGCGGCCTGTTCGTCAGATCCGAGGCCGGCTGCAGGGAAACACTTTATTATTCAAACGCGGCTCCGAGCGGGCGCTGGACCACCAGAGGGACAACCATCACATCACACCAGCAACTATCCTCCCCCACAGCCTTCAGATCCACTCACCTCCCAGCGTTTGCGTCATTATGCCTAACTTTTGACATTTAGGTAATGCATGGTTATCTGAAGTGTGGGGTCTCCGGCCTGTTTGCTGCTACTGGAGACAGAGATCTGCTAAACTCACTTCTCCAGTGGTGTTTGTGATGTCTGCGGCTGATGGTGGGTCTCACTCAGTGTTTATTGTGCTGTGGGTTCCGCTGGCTCCACGGAGCTGAACCACATGGCGAAACACTACTCATGCGTGTCGGCGGGAGCAGCAGCAGAGAGGGTTTGACGCAAATGTTTAGAACCTGCGTCCAAGCGAAGGCAGGTGGCCGAGAAGCTGACGTTTGACATCTGGGCTCGTAATGGGTTTTAAAATGTCAAATGTATGAAAACAGAGAAAGATAATGCTCTCTCACACTCACACACTCACACACACACACTTGTGGATATGGAGGCCTGGGAACTCGTCCCTGACTGCTGTTAAGATCCCACCCACCGGAGCGTGGTGAGCAAGGCAGGGAGGGAAATGCCTCAAATAAAAAGACCGTGGTAAATGCTGCCACATGTGCTATTTGTAAAAGTACACACACACACACACACACACACACACACACACACACACACTGCAGAGAAACACTAATGTGCTCCTTGATCTTGCTTGGTTCAGACACATGGAGAATGTATAGCAGTTTATAGGCTCGGGCAGTTCGTTGAAAAATATTTTGCTTTTTCTGTCGGCACCGAGAGGAAAATTCTCGTTAAATAAGTAATTAACTTAAAATGTAGAAAAACTCCCTCTCAGGCTTTTTACACCGGTGATCTTGTTCCGATCCTTAAAAGAATTCAGATAACTGCTTAAATACTTTTTTAAAAGTGAAAGCACGAATATATTTTATAAGATCTAATAATCAAGATAAACGTTTGGAATGTGGAAGGTGAAAGCCACAAAGGCCTCTGAGAACTTCCTCACAACTTCCTGTCATAGCCACAACAGGAGATTATGAACTACACAGTGGGTCAACAGTCCGTCGTCATCTACTGATGTACTTGATCTGTGTGTTCCTACTTCTGGAACATATACGTTGAATATGAAGAAGTTTCCAGCGGCTTCAAGAGGTTTCAAACGGTCTGTTATTGTCCGATTCTCTATTTCAAATGTGATTTTCATGTTTACGGCGCAGCTCTTCGCTCGACCCGGAACAAGTCAAAATCATAGACTGTTTATAAAGAGGGAGACAAACATTGGCGGCTCCTCAAAAGTGAAGCCGAAGCCTCTGCATCGCCCCCCTGGTGGCTGGCTGCAGTACAGGTCTTAAACCTCACCTCCTCCGTGTAAGCAGAGTGATTTCAAATTCCTTCTCCTCAAGATGTTTTCTTGAATTTTAGGCAGTTATGCAGTTCTTATCACAGTGCTCTATGTTTAGGTTCAGGTACTTTTTGTATTATAAGTTATTTGATGCAATATAAACAACAGTATTAATGTCATGTGTGACTGTATTCGAACCAGTGGCTCCATTTTCCCGATCGCTACTCTGGCTCCTTATCTGCGTAAAATGGCAACGTTGACATCCGGGATATTTTGGCTTCATTTCTGGATAGCGTGAGGACGTTTATCTTTGTTTACAGTCTTGAAGTGTCTGGTCTACATGTACCAAAACATCAGTCGGCCTCGTGCTGCTTCCCTTTCACTGCAAATGATAATCAGCCCACCTACCAACAGCACAGTTATTTTCCCACTGTGCTTCTAACCTCAGTATCCAGTGAATTCCCTTTTGCCAAAACAAGCACAGCCCTGAGTTACTGCGCTGGGAGCACAGACGGCTTCCTGTCTGCCTCCGTCTACCCTCCGCTCGACTCTCCGGCCACTTCCTGTCTTTGTCAGCCTCCTCTGAGTCACAGACTTACAGCGACAGATAGAACAACTCGATCCACGCTCAGGCAACACACATGCACACCTTCGATTGTGCATGACAAACTTGACATGTGACCAGATTGTCGCTCAGGCGTGTTCAACGTTCATTCATGCATTACGCAAAACAGGAAACTCACAGCAGGCGTGCAAACATACTATATACGATGTAGAAATGCACTGACTGAACACGTGTACAGTCAGTGCATTTCACGTTTATTCATCCGACCACCGAATCGTGTGGCGGCAGTGTAAGAAAATCCTGCAGACACAGATCAGGAGCTTCAGTGAGAATCAGAACGTGGAAACATGTGATCTGAACAACAGCCATCCTCTAATTACAAATTGGTGGTTCAGACCAGAGACTCTGTCTTGTTTCCACAGGATAAAACACAATGGAAACATGTGACTCGTTAATATAAAAATGGTGAAACTGCTAATTATAGTAAAGTTTAATTCCATTCACCTGTCTCTTGAGAGGGAGACGTGACTTTCAGCCCTGAGAGAGAGAGACGGCTCTTCGGCTGGTGACGTACGTCGATAACACAAATAAATGCTGAGAACCAACTTCCTTAAAAAACACACATGTTTGTGAGCTGCTTCCGTTGCCCTGTTGGCTGCGAAAGGGCGGTAACCGTAGCAACCACATGAAATCTGTCCTCCCAACACGCCAACATCTTCCTGTTTTGAGGGATGACACAGGCGTGTGATAACGGCCGAGCGTGCACGTGTCGTGCTCGACTCCAGCGGCTGTGACTGAGCAGACCGCTGGCCAGATTTAAACCTCCAGAGCGTCCCACAGATGTGACTCATGTTATGGAAACAGTCGAAGGCTGGGAATCCACTGGAGGTCGACAGCCGAGTAACTTATACCGAGTATATGCGCAGAATAATTCAGAGAAAAATAAATAAAAAAAGAGCTCCGACCATTTTTACCAACTGTGCATCATTTGAAAAAAAAAGGTGTCCTTTAATTAATGTTGACAAACATCTGCTCTGCTCTTTCCTGCCCCCAACAGGTCTGTCAGAGGACAGCACTGTTCAGACGCCCGCCTTCACCGACTCTGTGAGACGTCACAGACAAAACAAGGGACACTACGGGACCTGGGACATGATGTGCGGAGGACCCCCGCAGGTCAGGGTCTCAGCACTATATGCAGTATAGTTCACAAACGCTGCCTCCTCCATGATAACTGATGGCTCATGGACCAAACTAAAGAAGTCAAAATACAAGTTAAATTACTTTTTTCCAAAGTTTTGTTTGTACTTTTAGGTATCACACATTGGTAAGTTTGGTTTTAAATGCGTTGCAATGAAAAGCTGAGACTTGCTCCCTATTTGAAGTGGAAACACATCATCCATCTTTATTTACAGTCTGCGGGGAGTAACGAGCTTCAGCCCGTTGTGATGGATGATAGACTTTTCAGACTTTTCACTCCATCACCTCCAGCACACGCCCTCTCCTCACACTTGAGAACAAGAAAGCCCCAACACAAGACCCCGCCCCTCACATGCACATACGTACTCACACACTGTGAATGAGGCCCTTTCAGTCTCCTGCTCCACAGTGTGTTTGTGAACGTCACCTTTTCATCATTAGACCAGTTTCTTTTTTTGAAGCTCCATGAACAAAACAGTATTTGTATTCATAGGTTGCAATTGTCCTATAACCATATATCCATATGTCACAAGTGACAAAAGCAACGTTAAGTGTTGCATCACGATAGATTGTGCTGGAAAGAAATTTGTGAATGAGACGCTGGGATTATTTCCCCTCAAATATTTTCTGGATTATTTCTGATGAAGAAAACTTATTATATTAAACATATATATATATATATATATTATATATATATATATACTTGCACCTCCCCATGACTGAAGATAAGGTGAAGTAGCTGAGTAGAAAATAACCCTCGATACGACAGAGACAGATTAAGAGAATTCAGCTTATTCAATTTGAGACTTTTTAGACCAAACTATTTTTGTGGTATTGACATTAAAAGTGGCATAAAATAACTTGATGTGTGAGTTAATCAAACCAAGATCACGCCAGTCACCACCACCAGGGCAACAACAATACAGAGAAATGATCATTTCATCTGCTGCTTTCAGTCAAACAAGCTTTTAGTCAAACAAAACTACAATAAACCTTTTGTTCGTCAGGCCTTTCTGTTCCTGAAGAAAAACGACTCCGCTTTTGTCACAGCCGTTCAGTACCCGGCCAAATATTTAGTTTAGCTTAGTTAAAACCTGGTGTGTGTGTGTGTGTGTGTGTGTGTGTGTGTGTTATGCCACTGAGACCTGCCTCCCTGCTTCTCTTTATCCAGCTGTGTATCATCTCAATCACCCCACTGTATCCACCTAACCACACAGGAAAAGGCTGCATGTTTTCCAAGTTTATTTCTGTTTTTCTTTGGGTGGAGGATATCGCTTGTTTTTCCACTACACCTCCTGTCTACAAAAAAAAAAAAAAAAAAAAAAAAGAAATCCCCAGTTGGCACATTACTTTAGTACCGACAGCATCCTGTGCCCCTCATAGTATGAAGTACATGAAGCATCAGGTAGAAGTAAAGCGGATACAATCCGGAGAGATGAGTTATTGTGACCGTGGCTGGAGGCATTTAGTGTTTGTCCCATTCTTGTGGACATGATATCTCAGGACTAATGAATTTTCCTCAAATTTGGCACGAATGTTCAGTTTGGATTGGATTCGAATTTCTGTCCTCAAATCAGATCATATACCAGATCAGCACTGGTTGGCAGAGGCATACAACCACAGTGCAGAAACTCTAGTTATATTACACATGGAAAACTGGGCAGGTTCTTTTTTTGTATAATCTACTCACACATAAAATGATGAAGGTGTAGATACATTAATACTGTTTGTTGTGTGTGTGTACAGATTCTGTGTAATCTGGTGATGGAGACTCTTCACCCCGAGATAAGAAATGTGATCGGTCCTCGTCTGAAGGGGAAGATGCAGCAGAGGCAGAGAAACTGGATGTTGGTGAGTTCCTGTTTCAGTGTGCGGCGAGAGAAGCAAACAGAAGCAGATCAGTGATGCTCTCCAACACCTCTCTGCCCTCCAGATCTCCGACGCTGTGTACAGGCAGGTGTTATCTCAGACGACGAGTCAGTTCGGCGCTCTGGTGGACAACTGTGAGGCCCAGAGAGTTCAGCTGGATGCGAGACTGCGAACGGACATGGACCAGATCATCACGTCTAAAGAACACGTCAGCAGCAAGATACGAGGTGACCGAAGATCCTCATGATGCTCAGAGCGAGGTGTTACACAAGCAGATGTGGTGGGAAGGATTCTGCTCAGTTAAAAAATATATATATTCAAGGAATAAACTCAGAGGTGTGAATAGTTCCAGTTCATTTCTTTATAGCGTAATATGTTTATCGACCATCAACTGAGGCCCACTGCAGCTCACCTCGTCATGCATCCAACACGCTTTGCACAATGTCTTGGTTTACGTGTTGCTCGCTGTTCCGTGTAACATGATCTTCCTAAACTCAAGTACATGCTTCATTGTTCATCCACTGTTTGCCTCGGTGAAGGCGTAGCCGTGGTTTCTCCAGCTCAGGGATTACTGGCACAGCAAAGCACCGGGTCTGGCCACTGAATAACGCCACAGTGCTCAAATTTCCCCGGAGTGCATTCGAACACATGGCATAACATGGGCGTCTGTAGCCTAACGTCCCGTGTTTTAGTCTTTTTCATTCCTCCTCACATTGTTTGTCGTTTCCCTCCTTTCTGTCTGATTTCTGCTTAATACAACACCTTTTGAGTTAATCTGGCACCAGACACTCATTCTTTCATTTGTACTGTTTCCCTGAAGTGGCTGAACTGCATTCAGGTGACGTTATCTTGCAGATAAGACTCGTTTTAAGTCAACTGTACACAAAAATATGCAGAGTCGCTTCGCATGCCAGTGTGAGACATTTAATTGCAGCTGGGATTTTTATTGTCTCTTTTATTAGCGAAGTAACATGTCTAACGATTGGACGTATCTGAGCGTAAGGTGAAGCTGAAATCTGCTGGGGCTCCATGGAAACAGAGTGTTTACTTAAACATCATAGCATACATACCAGTGTCGTCAGCCCGGTATCAAACAATGCACTCGCTTCATGTGTCACTTATTTAGAAGCTGCAGCAACTAAGCATTAGTGTTGTTTGTTCTTCTCACCCTCCATGCCTCGCTGCTGACGCACAGCTCTGGTGTTGCCCAAGACGGAGCCACTCCTGCGGACCAGCGTCCAGCCGTACATCAGCTCCATCCTCGAGGCTCTGATGGAGCCCACGAGCAGAGGGTTCTCTGAGGTCAGGGAGGTTTTCTTCAGAGAGCTGGTGGAGATCAGCAAGAACTCGCTCAACGGAGGGGGCAAGGAAAAAATGGGAGATGTGAGTTACGCATTAACTGGCTGCATTTGCATTGTGACCCCTTTGGGCTCATCTGGAAGGCTCCCTAACAAAGTCAGGTAAAGTGACTGGAGGCCGACATGTCTGACTTGATGGAATCGGTTGACCGATTACGATAGAGCAGCCTGGGCTTTATCAGGAGCTAAAACCCCAAATTTCAGACAGATGCTGAAAAGAGGAGCTGCAGAAATGGACAGGATGAAGAAAGATGAACAATCAACCTTTTTCTGTTTTGGTCTTGATGCTCCTCGACGCTCGAGCCACTTTAACACACAGTTGCCCTCCTCTGTCTTTCGTCCCCTCAGCACATGGAGAGACTGTCCATGCTTGCCTTCCACCCCGTGAAGATGCAGAGCTGCTACGAGCAGGTGGAGCAGCTCAACCTGGAGGGGCTGCAGCAGAGGTTCGACGTCTGCAGTCCCTCCGTGTTCGTCAGCAGAGCTCAGATCCTCATGAGGGAGGTGAGGCGTCACAGACATTCACACTGTTTATGACAGAAACGATTAGGATTCACCAAGAATCAGCAGAAAACTGGACAGCATGGGGAAGTCTCTACTCCCACCTGCTGGACAAGATGTGACATAAACCTTAAATACTTCTGCATAACTTTAAGCTATTTGTTAATATATTATTTTTCAACAGCAAATGGACAATACAGTTTACACATTTGAGCAGCTGCTCCACCAGTCTTTGGAAGGCAAAGAAGAAGACGACATGTGCAAGAACATCCAGCGATGTCAGGACAGGGTTCTCAAGGTAAAGCTGACAAATAAAAAAAAAAAGTAGAAACACGTTTACGGCTAACAGCTGGAACAATGGCGAAGGACGACAATGTAAGAGAGGAGAAAGGTTTTCTGTATTGTAGTTACATCAGTCCAGTTATTCTTAGTGGTCCTTAATCATGCAGATGATTTAATTTCAAGTTTTCTTCCTCCACCCAGCTACGGGGAAGGTCAGTTAAAGTTCACTATTTTAAAATGTGGTTAATCCAAGATAAGTCAGGTATTACCATCTAGATGCACTATATATTTTACTCTTGAGCCTAAAGAATAAGTTGTTGAAATATGGCTTGTGCAGCAGTTAAGAGAAGCTGTTATGAGTCACATCTTTAAATGCACGTCTGGTTACCTCTCGTCAGAAATACGATTACGACAGCAGCACGGTGCGAAAGAAGTTCTTCAGAGAGGCTCTGCTGCAGATCATCATCCCGTACATGCTCCAGCAGCTCTCCCCCTCCTGCTCACCGGTGAGTAGCATCCAACACAGACTCACATCATCCCCACTACTACTTTTTTATCAAAGTACTGAGACTGTTTCCACCTGTACACAAGTTTGGTCTCAAATTTACTTTGTAGACACCCTGCATGTCAGGATGTCCAGGGATCAGAGATAACTGAAGGCATCAGAAACAATGAAGGCAATAACAGGCAACTTTGCCTGAAGCTCATTCGTGTCTCGTCCGTCCTCAGGAGCTGCCTCGTTTCAAAGAGATGATCTTTGAGGACTTCTCCCGTTTTCTGCTGGTGGAGAATATGTTCGAGGAGGTGGTGCTGCAGTCCGTCACCAAGGACATAATGATGGGTGAGGAAGAAAATAAAACCTGTGGTAGTGATGTGTGATATCGTTACGGTGAGTGATCGGACATGTGAACGCGGTGATTGATTTTTTTGTTTCTTTACGTGTCCAGCTGTGAAGGAGGCGGCCGTCCAGAGGAGACACAACCTCTACAGGGACAGCATCGTTCTGACAAACAGCGACCCCAACCTGCACCTGCTTGGAGAAAACCCCTCGGTGGACTGGGCTACCAAATTCGGGGGCGAGGAGCCAGGCGACTCTGTTGGTGGGATGATTGAAGGAGGGGTTTCTGGGAGTAGACGCCGGCAAGTGGTGTCCATGATCCAGCTGGATGGGGTGCCTCTGCCCTACGAGTCCTGTCTGGAGGTTCCGGGGGTGGAGCTCATCCCGGAGGAGGACGCAGAGGTGTTTGATAGTAATATGGAGGAGCAAGAGGAGGATGAGGAGAGCGAGGGCCCTGCTAAAGAACCCATGTCTCCTGACAGCGTGAATGAAATCAGGGGCCTAATTAACCCGATAGTGGAGATGGTGCTGCCGGTGTCGGAGGAGGAGGAGAGCGACGTAACCAACGGGACACAGCCGACCAGAGGCATCATCACCTCAGAGGACGGAGTGCAGGAGGAGGTGACACACGTCACCACCATAGTGGAGGAAGTCCCCGGCAAATCTCCACGAGACAAGACGTCCCCGCATTCAATGCTCAGGCAGCTGGTAGGAAGCATGAAGCAGAAGTCTGATAAGGAGCAGCAGGAGGAGGTGGCCATCCTTGAGGGAAGTCAGATGGCGGCACAGGAAGACGATAGTGGACTGATTGCTGAGGTCTGTGCGGCAGAATCGGATTCGGAGTCGCCACCACTGCCGACAGACTCCAGCTCGCGAGATGACAGCGGCTTCCAGTCACAGACCAATGTGGAGGCGGAGGAAAGTGTGCCTCAGCCAATCACAAATGGCCTGAGTGGGGAGGACAAAATCATCGACCCGGCAGATGTGGAAGTGTTTTTAGCGTAGGAAGAGGATGTTCTGGACATAACTATGAAACTGGAGACAGAAAACCGAGTGACGGGAGAGGAGAGGAAAGAATTCAGATTTTATTTAAAGGTTTAATTCTTGTCTTAATTCTTGTTTATAATTGCACAGTCCAAAACCAACTCCCCCCCCCCCTTCCCTTTCTGAAACATCTCTTTGGTGATTGGTTCCTCTCTGCAGCATAAAAAAAAAAACACATCTTATTTGAATAAGGATCCTCTCGGAGACCACTTTCCCAAAGTGGTGCTCGCCAAAAAATATTTAATTAACAGAACAACTACATCTGAGTTATGAAAAGTTATAAAAGTTATCTCGCAAAGTTTGCATCAGTTATAAGATCAGATTGATATTATTCTCAATTTATCTCATTTTTCGTTTTTTAACATCTTTTAAAAATTGAGCTTTTCCACAGTGCAGATAGATGAATCATTCTCTAATGATCACAGCCTCTACCTGGGCAGCAGGGGGCGCTATAATCATTCCTTGGATGCTTCTGGGTTGGTATCTTCAAAGCAGAGGTTGTCAACCTTGTCCCGAGTCACGACCCACAATCATAATCAGTTAAAAGTCTTATAAGCATTTTCTTATTTTTGACATTAAATGAGTCACAATCCAATTTCACTAAATTAATTTCTGTCCCTGTTCACCGACACTTTGACTCTGTAAATAAATAATAAAAGAATTCCCAGTCTAAAATATGTTATCTTATTTTGAATATTTTATCTGGAGACCCCCAGAGATTATCCTGTGACCCCTGTGAGGTTGACAATCAGTGCTTTAAACGTCTATGTTTCCGTTTTTAAACATATTTTCGAACTAGTTTTGTGAAATGTTATTTTAAACATTCAATTTGTTTAACATGCGAGCATTTCTTAAATTTGCAAAATGGCCTTTATGTTTCAACACGTTTCAGTGCAAATCTGTCAGGGAATGATTGTTTCTTCCACAGTGATTCTTCCAGTTTATTACGTTTAGTTTCACGTGACTTTGACTTTTCGGCTTGTAGGATTTGGATGAACTTGTAATTAGAGGAGGCCGTCTCAGTGGTAACAAGACAAAAGAGTGACTACTTCTCTGTTTAAAAACAGTCTTTTATTATTTAATCCCACCTCTTCTGGGTAAAAGGGAGAATTCACCCAAAGTCAAACGTATTCACTGCTTTGTTGGTTTCAAACTCCACAGATGTCTGGTTTTGTTCGATGTGACCGGGATGAACTGGCTTTTAATTAAGACTATCTGATGTCCTTATCGGTGCACAAATACATATGAAAGAAGAGGCCGTATCACTGATATTTGTCCTTGTGGAAGAGATTTGCTCACGTTTGTATAAACAATCGTTGTGTCTCTGTGAATAATGAAAGGGGCACTGATGATGCAAATGTTCCATAAAAACCAAGAGGTTCGATAAACTGTAAATATTAGACTTTAATTTCTAAAATAAATCCTTCTGTATTTTCAAGGTGTGTCATTCATAATCAATTTTTTTTCAGATGCTACATTATATAAGTCCTACACCAGCAATTCATTGCAATGTATTGAGTAAATATGTGTAGTTCACAGACCAAGGTGCAATTCTGTCTTGTCTCTATTAATGAAATAAGTAAAGGAGTCGGTGACCCGTTGTGAAATCCCCTCTCATCGCTGCCTTCAGATTCAAACCCAAGACCGTCACCTTCTCCTGTTGATTTAATCCAACATGTTGTATGTAAGATAGAAGGTCAAATAAATCATTTTATCAACTTTATTCTTGATTTTAAATGTTAAATCAAGACATTTTTTATTTTAGTAAGTGACACACAGCAGATGATCAGACACACGTTTCTTCTCATGTTTCAGAATCAGTTACAAAAATAGTTCCTCAAAAGAGAGGAGGAGCATATTTCAATAAAATACATCTGAAAGTGTTAGTTACAAGGCACTGGCTTTTTTCTTTACTTATGTGCTTCTCGGTTTGTCAGTGATTTCCACAGAACCACATGACCTACGTTCACTGTCCCCATGTACACGTGAGAATGATTCCCATCTGTGAGAGGTTTACAAGCTAAAAAAGAAAAAAGAAAAATCACATGGTCCAGTTCCTCCATCTGACAGAGCACAATCTTAAAATGACCTGTGACTCAACGGCCGTCAGTGCTGATCAGAAAAATATGACGAAAGCTACAAACAGTGGAAGACTTCCCATTCCATGTTTCCGAGGACAATTTCTCCTCCTTCAAAAACATTTTACCGTGAATAAATAAAACTAGAGTATAAGGAACGCAGCATGTGCATGATTTAAACCCCTTTGCTGCGTGTGAAGGGAAAAAGGAAATGAGTCCCGAGGACTGAAATTAGTGGTGAAGATTGTTATTATCCGTATTATTGTGCAGTTAATTTTTAAGCATAAAAGCAATACGATCCCTCTTTCTTGTTTCCCAAGAGTTAAAATTTGACAAACACCCAACCAAAGAGCAACAGACCAACATGCAGAAATGAGTCATTGAGTGGTTTCCCATTTAGTATCCAGAGCAAGAGAAAATAAAAACCAGCTCCTCCGTCTTAAATCCAGATTTGTGAACTGTCCATACCATCAGATTTGACCCAGCAGAGGGAACGAGATGAAATAACCGAGCACAGAACCTATGATGACACCGACGAAGATCCAGACATTGTAGGTCATGACGCACAACATCAGCATGTAGCCGAGAGACACCTGCAGCATGTGGAGGACGGTCTGGATACCGTGCAGTAACCAGCTGAGGACCAGGAGAAATGAGAATTTGTGAGTGAATAACAACTTCCATTTTTACCCCAATTTTAATACTTCAGGCAGCGGAGGACTGAGCGAGGCAGGGACACGTATTCTTATGACAGAGGAGGCAACTCTAATAACGTTTAAACACAAAATAAGGTGTCCATTCTGTCTCAAGGCGATGAGCACTCAGTACACAATGTGTACTGTCTACTGTGTACTCACTGTGTATACTCAGTATAAACAAATGCTGAAAAACTAGAATTACTGACTCACGGTTGTTAACCTACACAAACCAGTCAAGTAGCACTGAATCCACGTCTCTCCAGAGAAACATAATTTGTCTTTAATTATTATTATTGAGTTTATTTTGTTATAATAACCTCCATTAAGGATGTTATGTCTCTGTTTGTTTGTTTGTCGGTTGCTGTTGTTCTGCTGAACAGATTTTGACTCAGCTCTTGGTGTGGATCCAGGTCAGAGGTGGATCCTGGAATCTCTTTTTGAAACATTGAGAGTTTTCATGGATCGTTCAGGCTCATTAATGCCATTGAGTGTGTAAATATGTGGTTCATCTTATTCAAGCTGAATTTAAGGAGACGGCTCAGACGTGTCAGATGCATGAACCATGTATTTAATAGATTTTTGGAACAGAGAGATGGAAGAGGGGCTCGCTCCCTACCTGGCATTGCAGTACCTACGGGAATAGTGCACCATCACAGTAGATGGTGTAAATGCACCTCAACGTTGGCTGCCACCCGCCAATAGAAGGTTTGATTATCTGACCTCTTGGGCCGCAGTTACTATTTGATGAGGATCTGGTCCCTGAAAGTGTTTTTCTTTTTGTGTGTCTCGTGGGCCCTGACCTGTACCTGGTGCTTGGAGCTGGAGGAGAAGGCTCGATGGGGGTCACGGAGGACTGGGAGGGGCTTCTCTCCAGTGTGGAGATGCAGTCGCTGTGGAGGGACGTGGGGCTGAGGTACGGCTGTGTCAGCTTTGACTTATTTCCCAGCCACACCCTCCAAACCTTAAGCACCTCGTAGAAAACTGTCAGGAGCAAGACGACAAACACCGACAGCCCCATTCCTGCAAACAACAAACACACACACAGAGTTTACTTAAGCAGCTGGAGTCTGTTACAAACGCTGCCATTTAAAGCCCTGAAGGAAGAGTAAACTACCTCCGGCCAATTATTAGTGTCATCATGAAAAAATGTGGATATTTTTATCCAAATACGAGGAGTGGTTTAGGATCTAATACTCAGCGCACTGACCAACACGCTGAAGGATAACAAATATGTCTTCTTGGGGCGACAGGTGGACTCGTGAACATCATATCTGCATTTTTTCCCCAAGGAGCTGGGTCGCCATTTAAGGGCCCGCTCCTCCGCAAATAAAAACTTAAAGGTTGATACAACACTACAAGATATTGGATGATAAAATATTAGATTTCCTGCCTCTCTGTGACTTACCCACAGGCCCGTTCACGTTCCAGAAGTCGAACAGCAGGGTCACGCTGTTCGACACCTCAAAAGTCATCTATAGAAAAGAGAAAGAGAAAAGTATTAAAACCCTCAAACAGCGGAGGGAGTGCTGGGCGCGGGTTGAATGCTGATGCACGTTACATGGGAACGACATCAGTGATGCAGGACCAGGTGTTAACAATGTTGACCCCAAGCCTCCTTCCCACCAAGATCAGTTATCCAGGCTGGGAGTCAATGCTCTGTCATTAGTGCTGTGCTCTTTAATTTTCTGGAGTCAAGTCTCAGGATGTTGTTACTGATCTGAGCGACCTTTACTTTCTTTTTCACCTTTTCTTACAGGACCTTCATCGCTAAAGCATAAAAAACAAAGGTTTGCATTTCATAAAAAATAAACAGACGCAGGAATAATCTGTCTTCATTTATGCTGCCCTCAGTACCTCCTCTGTTCAACATATAATATCTTGGATTCCTTTAAAAACAAAAAAATTGTGTTGGGCTGTTCCAAACAAGCGTCTATTCAGCTGATCTTATCCCACAATTACAACAAGATGTATTGTCCCACAAAAGCTCCCTCTGTAGATACGTGACTGACAGAGGAACGTACTGTGTGTGTGTGTGTGTGTGTGTGTGTGTGTGTGTGTGTGTGTGTGTGTGTGTGTGTGTGTGTGTGTGTGTGTGTGTGTGTGAGTGAGTGTGTGTGTGTGTGTGTGTG